CTTTATCAGTGAGCTTTTTCATTTCATAATTTTCATGTTTCTATTTGTGGCCTTTCTTTTTTCACCTAGAGAAGTTTCCTTTAATAATTGTTGTAAAGCTGGTTTGGTGGTGCTGAATTCTTTTAGCTTTTGCTTGTCTTAAAGCTTTTGATTTCTCCATCAAATCTGAACAAGAGCCTTGCTGGGTAGAGTATTTTTGGTTGTAGGTGTTTCCCTTTCATCAGTTTAAATTTATCATTCTACTCCCTTCTGGCCTGCAGAGTTTCTGCTGAAAAATCAGCTGATAGGCTTATGGGAGTTCCCTTGCATGTTATCTGTTAGTTTTACTCTTGCTGCTTTTAATATTCCCTCTTTATCTTTAATTTTTGTCATTTTGATTACAGTGTGTCTTGGTGTGTTTGTCTTTGGCCTAATCCTGTATGGGACTCCCTGTGCTTCCTGGACTTGGGTGAATGTTTCCTTTCCCAGGTTAGGGAAGTTTTCAGCTATTATCTCTTCAAATATTTTCTCAGGTCCTTTCTCTCTCTCTCTTCTCCTTCTGGGTCCCCTATAATGCACATATTAGTGTGCTTGATGTTGTCCCAGAGGTCTCTTAAACTGTCCTCACTCCCTTTCTTTCTTTTTTTGGGTTCAGTGGCAGTGATTTACACTACTCCGTCTTCCAGCTCACTGATCCATTCTTCTGTATCATTTAGACTACTACTGATTCCTTCTAGTGTATTTTTCATTTCAGTTATGGTATTCTTCGTCTCTGTTTGGTTGTCCTTTATATTTTCTAACTCTTTGTTAACAAATTCTAACTTCTCACTCTGTACATCCATTCTCCTCCTGGAGGGAATGATATCTTTACTTAGTTCTTCTGAGGTTTTATCTCATTCTTCCATCTGTAACATATCCCTTTGTCACCTCATTTTGTCTAAGTTGCTCTTTGTATTTTTATGTATGTGGTAGGTTAGTTACATTTCTCAAACTTGGAGAAGTGGCCTTCTGCAGGAGATGTCCTATGCATCCCAGCAGTGCACTCCCCTCTCATCATCCAAGCTATATGCTCTAGGGGTTCCCCCTAAGAGGGCTGCATGGGTCCTTTTGTTGTGTCAGGCTATATGGGTGGTCTGGTAGGCTTGCTTGTTGCCAGGTCCTGCCTTATGCAGATGCTCCAACTGCAGTTTAGCAGAGCCTGGCCATGAGCCAGCTGGTTACAGAAGCCTAGGGGGCCAAGGAGCTAGTGCTGTCTCACTGGTTGGTAGAGCCAAGTTTCTGAAGACTCCAGGGCTGTTGCCAGATCCTGGGGTTAGTGCCACACTACTGGCAGGCAGAACTGGTTCCTGGAGTCTGCCTGCAGGGCCCAGGGGTCCAAGACCTCATTTCAGATCATTGGGGTGGGGGTGGGAGCAGTTCCTGATACACTTGGGTATGGGGTCCAGAGTGTCCTGAAGGTTGCATTGGCTGGCTAGTGGGCAGGGCCAGGGCCCAGCTGGTCCCAAGGTAGCGTATGGGCTGCTATTGGTGGACTCTGTGTGCAGGAGGCAAGATCATAGTTTTCTTGATTCTGGTGTCTACCCCCTGATAGATGGAGCTGGTCTAGAGGCTAGTGCAGACTTCCCGGCAGGAAGGGCTGGTGCCTGCCCACTGGTGGATGGAGCTGAGTCTTGGCCTTCTGCTGGGCAGGGCAACATCTAGGGGCGTGTCTAGAGGTGGCTATGGGTTCAGGAGTCTTTAGGAAGCCTGTCTGCTGATAGACGGAACACTGCCCCTGCTTAGTTAGTTGTTTGGACTGAGGCATCCCAGCACTGGTGCCTACAGGCTGTTGGTGGGGGGCCAGGGCTTGGTACTACTGAGCTAAGACGGCAGCAACCAACAGGAGTGTTTACTTTGGTTGAATGTTCCTAAATATGTCTGCCACTAGTATCTGTGTCCCCAGGGTAAGCCACAGCCACCCCCCACCTCTCCAGGAGGCTCTGCAAGACCAGCAGCTAGGTCTGACTCAGGATCCTATCAAATTACTGCATTTGCTCTGGGTCCCAGTATGTGTGATATTTTGTGTGCACCCTTTAATTCTTCTAGGTCTTTGTTAAACATTTCTTGCAGCTTCTCGATCCTTGCCTCCATTCTTCTTCTGAAATCCTGGATCATCTTCACTATCATTATTCTGAATTCTTTTACCGGAAGGTTGCCTATCTCTACTTCACTTAGTTGTTTTTCTGGGGTTTTATTTTGCTCCTTCATCTGGGATATATTCCTCTGCCATTTCATTTTGTCTAACTTTGCGTGATTGTGGTTTCCATTCCACAGGCTGCAGGACTGTAGTTCTTCTTGCTTCTGCTCTGTATTTCTTTCTTGAGATTCCTTTCAAAACAGGTGAAATTTTCACACCCTGTGTCAGCTTTCACTCTTTCTCAGAGATCACCGAGGTCTCTCTTCGCCCTCTTATCAGCTTCCTTGGTTCTGACAGGCTCAGGCCTTTCTTGTCCTTCTGTGGTGTTGAGAAAACACAGGGGACAGCAGGGCTGAAAGATGAAGGGCAGCTCTGGTCTCTGCTGAGTAGGGATGGTCGACCAGAAGGAGATCACAGCAGCAACTTTACCTGCTGCCAATCAGCCTTTTGCCTGATCCACATGCCCAATTTCTCCAGCCACATGATGGTAAGGATCCAGGGGTAAGCCAAGAACTTCTTGTAGTGCAGCCGAGCCCCTTGACACAGCACAGACCACCTCCTAACTGTGCCCCTCGTTCCGGTCTAAGGGTGCTTGGTGCCTGTGATAGTGCACGTCCCGAACTCTTTAGTTGGCTGAGGCCAGCACTTCAGGGGGTCCCTCCAGTTCATGTGCACCCTTTAAGAGTGAAATCTCTTTCCCCCTTCAGTTAATCCCCACTGGCCTTCAAAGCCAGGTGCTCTGGGGGCTCATCTTCCCAGTGCTGAACCCCCAGACTGGGGAGCCTGATGCAGGGCTCAGAACTCTCACTCATGGTTTGCAAGCAGTTCCCTGACCCCAGCTACAGAGCCACGCCACAGCTCTGGGGACCTCACACACCTCAGCTGGGTGAGCTGGAGCTCAAAGTGTCTACCACTACGTCACATTTCAGGATCTTTGTTAACTATTTAATAATGCCATACATTTGTATAAGTTAGACTGTTTGGAAACATCTGTTCACATTCCATATTCCAATAAAATTGTATTGGTATTGGTAGAAAAAAAAAGGGTCATCCACCTAGAGGGTATGGGATTTCATTATATCGGGAGTCCTCCCCTCTTGCCCATCTTGTTGTGGTTCCTTCTTTGTGTCTTTTAGTTATAGAAGATCTTTACTGGTAGGTCCCAGTCTTTTTGATTGATGGGTTCTTCTGCAGAGAGTTGTGATTTTGGTGTAGTGCTCCCAAGAGACTGTGAACTCAGGGTCTTACTACTCCACCATCTTGGCTGCTCTCCTTTCCTGGACTTTTTTTTAGCATACCACTTTTATCTTTAATCACTTAATTCTTAAAGACCTTTAACATTATTTTTACTGCTGTTTATATAATAACTGCAAGAAATGGTCCTCTGGACAAATGTTCAACAGGATACTTCTCTAAAGCTACTCCCTGTTTTGAGCTAAGACTTGAGGCCGTGCCTTAAGATGGCCCAACTCCACTATCCAGCCACTGTTTGAGGAACCTGCTAATAAGATGGTATTCTAAAGAGTCCTACACTTTGCAGGTATCCTAACATAAGATGGCCACATGACCTCTTGACTGCACAGAGTGGCTACACTTGATCCAGCCCACTAGGCCTGCCCATTTCAGATCAAGATATCCAAGGGGCAGCTACAGCCTACTAAATGCTTAAGTTAGAGAGAGCTAATGGCTTTCCCCCAGACCTGTAGATTTTAAATCTTCTGAAATGTATTCTTTATCTCAGGTGGCTGAGATAACTATATCCAAGGCTCTAAACCCATATAATGGCTGTAGAGTTCGCCGGGGTTTAACTGGAGATAATTCTTTCAAATTTCCAAATTTCATTACATATTTATTGTGCGCCAGGCAGTATGATAGATATAAGAAGTATAAAGTCAAATAAGACATGGATTCTCTCCTCAATGACTTTATGGTTGCGTTGGAGAGCAAAACAAGTAAAACAACAATTATAATACAGTGGGGGTATGTTTTATTGAGATATAAGAACACAGATGAAGGGTATCTAAAGCAGGGAAAGCCTCCAGGAAAGGGTGACAGAAGGTAGGCCACCAGGATCCCACACTATCAGTAGACTACTCAAACTCCTTCCCCAGCACACCCAAGAGCCCCCTGAACCATGACACAGAGTACCACAAGCTGACAGGAGGCATCCCATGAATGCCGAATTAAGGAGGGAACCAGGCACAGAAGGGCCCCCCTTCTGTAGAGACCCCATGCTAAAGAACAGAGGTACATGAAGTAGAACTAGAAAGGAGCAAGCAATAGTATAATGCCACCTGTCCCCAACCCCCCGCCACACACACACATGCATGCCCATCCACGGAGCCTCTGCAGTGGACAACAGAAGGAAAAATGGACACCCACACACACCCAACAGTGAGTCGTGACTCCAGGAAGCCAGAAGGGAATAAGACAAGACACAGCAGGTATCATTAAGGCTTTACTGGGGATCAGACAGGGCTGGGCAGGAACCACACTGGGAGGCAGGGCCTTCACCTGCACACCAGGCCAATTCTGATCTTCAGGGCAGTGCTGGGATCTCGGAGCAGAGCTCTGTGGGCCAGGGGTCTGGTTGGGCTCCTCACAGCAGAAGCAACCATGGAAGGGAAGGATAGTCTGGTTGGCTTTAGTGCAGGAGGGATAATGTGGGGTGGGGGAGGAACTTTGCTGAAGAAAAGTGGGGAACTGAATAAAGGATGGTTGAAAAGGGGGTTGGGAGGGAGATAAAGGGGGCCAAGACGGCATCTAGAGTGAAAAGAAGGAGAAAAAAAAAGACAGACAGTTCTGTGCACAGGGAGGTCCACCTGGTCTCCAGGACAATGGCTCCTCACTCCCGTCTCCTGGTTACAGGGCAGTATTTGTTGCCCCACATGGCAGTCTTTAGAAACAGAGGGCCTGGGAGGAAGCAACTGGACTTCATGTAGGCAGAGATCTTCTTCAAGCCCTGAGGGTGGGAAAAAGAAGGCCAGGCCTCAGGTCTGCTGCCCCACTGGGGCTCATGCAGCTCTCCCCAGGTTTGGTACCCTGGTACAGCCCTTCCATGTGGGGTCAAATGTTGGGGCAAAAGACAGTCTTTTGGGACATGCGCAGCTCTGGAAAGTTGACTCTTCCAATTTCCTGTAATTCATTTGATTTCTTAATAAGACTTATCACATATGGAGACTCTACCCTGTATAAGGTGCTGTATATCCACTAGAGATGATAGTATCAGATGATACTATCATCAGATATAGATGATAGGTTTAGAATCTCTACACGACTACCTGACAAGATAGGTTCTACTGTCACCATTTATCAGAAGGGAAACTGAGGCACACAGAGGATAAGCACCTCCCTCCTGCTCACACTGCTCATAATTAATATGTCTAGAATGCAGCCTGGCTCGCTCTCGCTCTCCATTCTGAGCTCTTTCTGCTGCACTCCCTTCCTCGCAGCTGAGAACAAAAAGAACAAGGAGGTTCATTCATCATCCACTTATACAAAGAGTTAAGTCACTACTCAGGGCAGTTGCTCACCAACAGTGTGCCTGGAGGGGTATTCAGGATGGAAAAAAAACAAGATGAAACATTCTGTATTTCGGATACCTGGCCCCTAGATAGTTAAGATGCACAACTAAGGAAAAACTCCAATCACCTCAGATTTGTGCACCTTTCCATCCACAGAAAAGCACTAAAATCACTAACGAGATACCTGTTTTTTGGTGATTAGCAGTGATCTTTTACCAAGACTTAGAGTTGATAATTCTTATTTCCCAAACCTCCTCCCCTACTTCTTGAGAGCAGTTCCTCAGAGCTATCTGAGAGGCTGTCTCCTGGGATACAGTCCTCAGTAAGTTCCCCCAAAAAAGGGAAACTCACTGCTCTTACGTTCCAGTGGACAGTTTTAGCGGCCACAAAGGGGCCCAGCGGAGGCTTCTTCCCCTCACCGGAACTTTACAAGGATCTGGAGCCTTGGTACCAGCAAGGCCCCTTGTGCCAGTCCACCTCTCTACATGTCCATACGAATTTGGGTGAGTCTCTCCTGATCTCAGTTTTGCCATCTGGGTTGACAATCCTGAGTTTTATTCAGTGGTAGATGAAAAAGGTACCTGACTTCTCAGTTCAGAGATACCGAGAAAGTACCCAGTCGAGAGCCACTGGGAAGGTTCAGGCTGGGTGAGAAGGTAGGGGGCCGCTTGGCACCTTTCCTTGAATTGACTACTTTAACAGAATTGGTTGGAATATAGTGTAGACACCATATAAGAGCTCTTAACTCCAAAGATAGGGGACAGAGCTCTTCCTGGCCAGGTATGGCTTTCTCAGGCAACTGAGAAACTTGCAGGAGTGGTGGAGGCCAGTCCTTTATACCACACAGCAGTCCCATAGGGAAACCCATTCTTTAATTTACAGAAAGTGGCCCATCTGGGGACACACAAAAAGATTTGGCCATCCAGTGTTCCCAGTGCCCATCGAGGCTTTAGACTGTCAGAGGGAGAAACTGAGACCTGAAATGACTCTAGGGTGACAACTAGGAGAGTTCAGCTCAGAAACAGCACACTGGCCCACCACATACAGTTTCAATAGTAATTTATCCTGAAAAACAGACTCTGAAATGGGAAACAAAGCTTTCTAAACAAAAGAAAGAAGGGTGACAGATTGCTAACCTATGACTAACACCACAGCCAGGTTTAGGTACATTACATACTGAGCTTATACTTGCAAATACTTAATTGGGGAAGCTATACAAAAGGAGATCTCATCCTAAAAATGGCCAAAACGGGGTTCTTTGGACATTCCAATACTGAGTTTTTTGGGTGTACACAGCTAGAGAAAGCGGGCTATAAGATCAAAGAGACCAAATGGAATGCTCATTTTGATTGGTATTTAGAAGCTTCTAAAAGAGTAAATGAGAAAGTAACTTCTTGCAGAAAAGCAACAAAAAATGGCTTGAATTATATCCGAATTTTTAAAAGGCCCCTAAAGCTGGACCTGTTCTCCATTGCTCCTCCCCGCTCCTCTAAGTGTCCACTGCAATGCTCTCCTTCATGCTATTCGTCTCTCTCTCTCAACTTCGTTTTTGTAACACCAAAATTGATTCCCCACAGAAAGCAACAATAATTCAAAAGCCTTGGTAAAATTGTGATTATTTTGGCCAAAAAGTTTTTTAAACTTTTTTTTTCAAAATTCTGACCTTAAGGAAACAAATGCCCTTCTAGGAGGAACGTGCATCATCTCCCCATGGCTTTGAGATATAAATATTCTACCTGAGCTTAGGCATCTTCTACTCTGTTTTGGTAGCTTAGTCTCTGCAGTTGAGAAGGTACACATATGGTGTACATTTGGCAGAAAGTTGCATAGACTGGGATTCCAAGCAGTCTTTTTGTCCAGCTATGCCAGCTTCAGGGAAATGTGTCATAAGGGGTCCCAGTCCATAAAGCGCCTTTGTTGTCTCAACCTTCCTTGTGTTCCTGTACAACAAAGGCCTTTACTTTCTTAGACTATATTTGGGAGGAAACTTTCTGGTTCTTGTGAAGGCTACATCCTTTGCACTCGCTTTTGGGGATGCCTCTTGCATCTTACTGGTTTGAATCACAACTAAAAATCCTAACAATGGATCCTTTAAATTGGAAAAACTTCTAAATTGGTAAATTTTTAGAGACCTCTCATTGTAAACAGTTGTTTTATTGGTACCTATGGAAACACCAAGCTAGAAGGTGGATACAAAGGAATATAATGGCTAACCTTAAGAACTCCCTTAGTTTATAGGATGGAAATCTTTAGATGGTTATTAAGAGATGGGATAAATGAAACAGACTTCGACAGCATTAAAACAATGGTTTTGATACAACACTACCAAACAGGATGTTTTGGAGAGGCCAAAAAGACCCCTTATTGGTCCTCCTAATGTTAAAGGGCCCCAAACAAGTCCACTCTATTTACCCCAGTTTAGAAAAATTTTAAAGGCAAGAAGGTAAAAAAAATTACACTCAGATACTTGACCAGCAATTGCTCGGGGCAACATGCCAATCAATCAAGTTAAAGATTGACAAAAAGCCCTGGGTCCCTTGGCTCAACCCCTCACTGGAGACCCCAAAGCCTTTTATACAGAAATGGGTAAAATGGCCAGGGAATAAAAAGGAAAGTTTCTGGGACTCCTTATAAGACCAAGACTGGTTAATAGGGTCCTAATGAGGGCTACAGTTAAAGGTATAAGAGTTGATAGAATTGAGATGAAAGTTTATTAAAAATTGGTGTATTTGTGTTTTTTAAAATAAATTTATTTATTTATTTTTGGCTGCATTGGGTCCTTGTTGCTGCGCTCAACCTTTCTCTAGTTGCAGCGAGTGGGGGCTATTCTTTGTTGCGGTACGCAGGCTTCTCATTGCAGTGGCTTCTCTTGTTGCGGAGCATGAGCTCTAGAGCACAGGCTCAGTAGCTGCAGCGCACGGGATTAGCTGCTCCGCTGCCTGTGGGATCTTCCCAGACCAAGGCTTGAATCCGTGTCCCCTGCATTGGCAAGCGGATTCTTAACCACTGTCCCACCAGGGAAGTCCCAAAAAATTGGTGTATTTGAACAGGCTTTATGTAAGATGGTTCATCTCTTTTACCTGATATATTGTGGGGTTGTACAATATGTCTCACTGGGGAATGCTCCCCTGACTGGTATAAGACAGGGCATATAATCTGTCTCTCAGGCAATGTTAATTAAACATGATAAAGGAAACCAATAGGGTTACATGAGTCCACAGAGTATGAGGTAAAAGCTGGGGTCTAATATTCAGGGGCTAACAAAAGCAATAATGGAGTTTGGTTTGGGGGTTTTGTTTGTTTGTTTTGTTTTGTTTGTCCCTAGGGTAAATTGGTCTGAGTTTGACTTGTGCGCTCAGAAAGAGGACCTTCTGCAAACATTTGAAGGCATGATACACTGATCCCTAAAGTTCTGGAATATGGAAATCTTTTGATTTCCAGTTTAGTTGGAAATTTTCCTACTAATATAAAAAAACAAATTAAAGAAAATGTAGTTGGGCAAATCAATCTTTTGGTATCATTTAGGTGGCAGCCCAGTTCTTTGGGGAATTAAAAGCAACTGTGGGGACTTCCCTGGTGGTGCAGTGGTTAAGACTCCAAGCTCCCAATGCAGGGGGCCCAGGTTCAATCCCTGGTCAGGGAATTAGATCCCACATGCATGCTGCAACTAAGAGTTTGCATGCCACAACTAAGGAGCCCATGAGCCGCAACTAAGGAGCCCACCTGCCACAACTAAGACCTGGTGCAACCAAATAAATAAAAATAAATATTTTTTAAAAACAAAAAAATAAAAGCAACTACGTTCGTCTTGGGAATCCCCACATTTCAGAAATGTAAATACAGCCCACAATGACCTGAGACTGAGCCTGATTAACTTAATAAGGTAGAACCTGAAACCAAAGAGAAAAAATAAAGGAAAAGAGGCCTTTTTAAATTCAAATGGTTAGAAAGCCTCCTTCACCCAAAATCTAATTCACAGCCTCTTTTAAGGATTTGTCAAGAATGAATGTAAATCTTAAGTCTTTTCCACGAATAGTAAAAAGCCTAAAGAGTCTCCCTCATTATCGGTTTTAGAAAGGAGTAAGCTGCAACCCACTGCAGTCACCCACTGACAGTGCGCCCTGAGGGGAATTCAGGATGGAGGAAACCAGGATGAAACATTCTGTGTTTTGGATATGGGGGACCTTAAAGGGTTAGGATGCATATCGAACAAAGGCTTTCAGTCACCCCAGATTCATGCATCTTCCTACACGTAGAAAAGCACTAAAATCATTAACTTGAGATATTTGTTTTTCGATAATTAGCACTAATGTTTTACCAAGGTGCATGCCTGACTACGTGTACTTCCCAGCCCAAAATTCATACACCTACTACCTCCTCCCTACGTCTCGAGAGCAGTTCCTCCGAGCTCTCTGAGAGTCTGTCTCCCTGGCTACAG